GGGAACGATATAGCTCCCAGGCCTCCAATCTCACCCCTCAACTTATTCATGAAGTGCCAAAACGACACCAGCGTGTCTTTTTGGTTTCTGCACAGATAAACGATCTTGCATTTTGATTCCCACACCGATTTTGGTAACAATTTTTGTGGTAAATGGGTAGATAATAGCCTCCGCCCATTACTCATAGGGAAATCGGGGCTTTCTTCCATAGCATAAGAAAATTCAATGCCTGGAACAAATTCATGTGGATTTTTTGTGAGCAAAGGGTGGATTTGCTGCTGTGATGATACATTATCTGGGAAGTAGTGTTTTCGAGTGATCAACGCAAATAATAGAGCTTTCAGCCAGGTTGTGCCGGATTTTTGGTGGGTACATAGCATAATATCAGAATGTTGAGGCTGGAAGTGTTGTTGGCATCTAAGAGCACCATGCAAGTGAATGGAACCCAGCCAAACGCCTTTGTAGTTGTACATAAGAGGTGTGACCCAGCCTTTCTCTTTGGGCAGCGACACGATTGATTCTTTCAACTCTTGAGGGTATGAATCTTCTTCTATAAATTGATTCATAATTTTGTTTGAATCATCAGATGGCTGTGTGTTATTGTATATATAATGTGAGATCTCATCTACTGCAAATAATTGTAGTATTTATTACGGAGTACGTAATTTATTGCTAGCCACATGGCTGCAGGTCCACATGTAATTTATAATGAATACACTACAATGGATTATTATTATTTTAGTTTTATTATGCATAATCTTTTTGCAATTAATCAAATTGGTTAGGTAATTAAGGACGATTATCAAATTCTGATTCTGTATGTACTTCATGTGTATCTTAAAGATTGATTTGGTATTCATAATTAAATCAATATATAATAAATGTGTGTTGCAAATATATTTATTTATGTAGTGCTCATTATCCTAGTTTTACTCTTCCATGATTAATTAGATATAGTTTTTAGGAATATGGTTGCTCTCTTATGTGGGAGGTGATAGGTCCGAGCCTCAGTGAAGACGATTAGTAGTTTGGGTACACACACCTTCCCTCAATAAAAAAAAAAATCCAAACCCTTGTAGTTGCCAATTTGCAATCTTTGCGTGGTAGGAATTATCCATAATTCATCAACTCAAACTAAGAAGACCAATAAATAGTTTTGACCGGGAGTCAATTTTAAAATTTTGTAATTATTAAGTCAATTGTCCGACAAATTTGCCTCCGGTAATTATAGTTTTCGGTTGAAGATACCACATTTGAGTCCGTATCACGGATCCTTGTCGATGAGATGGACTCGGGTCAAGATAAAAATGTAATTTGTCAACATTAAGTGTAATACTTTTGATGTAAATGTAATACTTTTACATTAAAAAATTGTAACAATATTCTTTTTTTCTACCACACACCTTAAGCACAAAAACAAAGCACCTAACAACACAAATCACTCACCTTAAGTACACAAATACAACAAAGCACCTTAAGAATACAAACCATGCACCTAAGGTTTTAGAATGACTCACCTTAAGTTTCACACAACTGGCGCACCTTAAGCATACAAATCACGCACCTTAAAAAGGAAAGCCACGCACCTTAATTTTCAACAACTACTCACATTAAGCACAAAACTCACGCACCTTAAGCACAAAACTCACGCACCATAAGCACAAAAATCATGCACCTTATATGAAGGAAAACCACGCACCTTAAGTTTTAACAAATACTCACAATAAGCACACAACCCACGCACCTTAAGCACAAAACTCATGCACCTTAAACACAAAAATCATGCACCTTACGAAGGAAAACCACGCACCTTAAATTTGGCCTAGATGCAAAAATTACAAAATTGCCACCGCATTTTTTTTAAATTTTGGTAATCTTGGATGTTGATTAAGCAAGATCAATGGCTCAGATTTCACCACACAACCGCACATGGGCGCGCCAATTGCATTCGAACCTAATTATAGAATCCTCTTTTTAGATTTACTACCTCTTTTTCATGGAATTAGAATCCTATGTCCGATCCGTTGAAGTCTGACATTCCCTTCTAGATGATAGTCGCGTATTATTCTTCGATCAACATAGAGAACGTCGTTCCTGAGCAATAATCATTCTAGGTGAACCTTAATCAAGTATGTTTTCTCAAAACTATCAAGTATTTAAATTTGATGTGTATATAGCGTGTGTGGTGTATTTGTTTATAATAACGAATGAATAATAATAATAATAATAATAATAATAATAATAATAATAATAATAATAATAATAATAATAATAATAATAATAGTTAATTTCACTTTTGGTTTTATGATTATTGGGGTGTTGTCAATTTTAGTCCACAACTTTCAAAACTAACAATTTAGTACCTTAACTATTCAATTTTTATCAATTTTAGTCAGTCTGGCCAAATTGTAGGCTAATTGTTGACCAATTGTCGCCAATTTTATCCACATCTCACCTGCCTCTATATTAATTCAAACAATAGTTCACAAACTAGCTTCCATTTTAACACTGGATTAAAAGATTCTGGCAATAATTGACCAATAATTAGGCCGAACTGATAAAAATTGATAAAAATTGAGTAGTTACAGTACTAAATTGTTAGTTTTGAAAATTGTGGACTCAAATTGACAACACCCCAATAGTCATAGGACCAAAAGTGAAATTAATTCTAATAATAATAATAATAATAATAATAATAATAATAATAATAATAATAATAATAATAATAATAATAATAACAATAATAATAATAATAACAATAATAACAACAACAACAACAACAATAACAACAATAACAACAACAACAACAACAACAACAACAACAACAACAACAACAACAACAACAATAATAATAATAATAATAATAATAATAATAATAATAATAATAATAATAATAATAATAATAATATCCACAACAACAATGGACATTTTAGACTTTATACTATTTATTCCCTCTCAATTCCCATGTATACCAAACATTGAAATTTAAATTCCCAGTAATTTTGAAATGTTGAAAATCAAGCTTCAAATCCGAGATTACAAGCTTCCAAAATGTTATAGCACATAAATCTAAGCCTAATCTAACCTAAAAATATGAAAGAAAGGGAAGGAGAGTAGGTAGGGTTCAACTATGGGTCAAAATCGTGCTTAAATAGTGAACAGAGCACGGGTGGCACGGCCATGCCAAAAAACTGCAATTCTGGGCAGTGGATATCTCTATTTTTGACAGGGGTAACTCCCACCCACCGGTTTCCGATAGAAACCATGCTCTGATTGTTGGCGGAAAATGACTTTCGTCAAATTTTGGCGGAAGTTATTTTCTGCCAAAATGATCACATTTTCCTCAGTCAACGAAAAATATTTTCCGTTAACTCAATTTTCCAATTGTATCCAAACACCAAAAGTCAAAAAATGATTTTCAGAAGTTATTTTTCAGATTTCTAAATGGCCTAAGAAAATAAACCACTATAAAAAAATTCATTTTAATTACTAATGGATAAAATTCGAGTTAGTTCACTTAGTTGTAGTGCTAATAAATTTGTTTTCTAAAGATGGTTGAAGCATTAAATAATATACCCCCCTCCATCCCCAAAATAAAAAAATAATAATAATTTTTTTTTGAATACTGCACAACGGTTTCTATTACAAATTTTACAATGTAATATCTGTTCATAACTGTCATTAGACTAATAATAATAATAATAATAATAATAATAATAATAATAATAATAATAATAATAATAAACATCTGTACGTGGAACTCAGGCATTCAATGATTATTTGTTCCAAGTGGGAAAAAAATATCAATAATTGAGTGGTTAAGATTGAATTGTCAAAAAAAGATTGAATTGTCATGATTTTTATTTACACATGCTTTTTTGAATGAATTATAAGAATAACTGGCTTTTTTCTTTCTTTTTTTACTTAAGTAATCTAGCTTCACCAATGCAAGTTAATCTTAAATAGATACCCAAGAAGGAATATTAGTTGCATATGTTGGAAAAAATAGCTTAAATGACATAAAATGACATATTAAGTGGCTAATTTGTGGTAAAATTATCAGTGGGGTTCACTTTCGATTTGGGTCGGGTCAAAGTGGATTCAGATTCTTTGTAGTAAGACGAAGAGATTGATACATTGTACGCTCAAAACGGATAATGGGTGAATGAGATATTGATTTTCAAAGTATACCCATTTGAATTGGAAAATGAAGGGAAAAACCCGCATTGGTGTGGGAGGAAGATTTGCCCCACTATTTATACAAGAGCTCTTTTTAAACTTATTGAATTGTATAGCATAGAGGCTTTCTCTCGCGCGCAAGGGGTGCAAATCAAATCTCTTCAACCCTATAAAAAGAGAGGTTCGCAGGATTCATTGTTTGGGTGCTAAAACAGTGAATGGTAGCACATTTTATCCTGGAAAACCTAGACTACAACGCTTCTACTTGTGGGAGATATCAAATTAATAAGGTTTTAAGGAAAAGAACGATTTGTTCAAACTCGTGCTAACCACTATCCGAATCTTCCATCTTTTCCTTCTCAATTTTTTACTTCTTCCCATATAATAATAATCTTTGCGTAAGATTATTATTTTTGGATTTTCCACTATATTACCCAAAAAGACCTCAAAGAATAACATTTAATTAGCTCTAAATACAATACTTGGCATGGCTGCTGCACATTTTTAGAAGTTTATTAATACAGGAATAACAATACTTTGATTTATAAAGGACATTAAACTAAATTTGAACCACACTTCTACTTAAACACAATAAAAAAAAAATATCATTATCAAATTAAAGCACAGTCACAAAATGATTCTCTACGCACTTGATCATCACATCACACCTTGAGCCCTGTCCCTTTGAACTTTTGTTCAACAATTTGATCAAGTCTGGTGGCCATTTCATTTGTTAGATGGTTCCTCCAATCTCCAACCTTACCTTTCCTAAAATACACATTATTTGGCCTCTCATGATAGGTCTTACCAGTCTTGTTAACCTCCAAGTTGCTCAAGCTTTCAAAGCTGCAAAGCCTCGAGATTCCACCTACCACACCTCCCTCTTCTTCCTCCTCAGAAAATGGACACCCCAAGAAACCTGCAATTCGCCTCAACTCAACTTCAGGCTCTTCCTTAATCTCCTCGTACTTCAAGAACAACACCTTCCCAGGATTCTCCAAGCTCTCCTTCCAGTATCCCAACACATGATCCCAGAAAGGCCCAAACATACTTGCTCCCCGGCAATATCTATCAAATGTCTCTGGAAACGGTATAGCTTCAAGGCCAAGAAGCTCAGCCCTCAGCTTATTCATGAAGTGCCAATACGACACGACGGTGTCCTTTTGGTTTCTGCACACACAAATGAGCTTGCATTTTGATTCCCATACCGATTTTGGCAACAACTCTAGTGGTAAATGCGTGGACAACACCCTAAACCCATTACCATTCATAGGGAAATCAGGGCTGATTTCTCTTGAATACGAAAACTCCATGTTTCGAATTAACTCCTGAGGACTTGTTGTGAGTAAAGGGTGGGTTTGTTGTGATACTGGGAATTGTTTTCGAGTGGTCAAAGCAAAAACCAGAGCTTTCAACCAAGTGGTGCCGCATTTAGGGAGGGTACAGACTATAATATCAGAATGTTGAGCCTGGAAGTGTTTTTGGCATCTAAGAGCTCCATGCAAGAACTCAGAATCAAGCCAAAACCCTTTGTAGTTATACATATGAGGATAGAGCCAACCTTCCTCTCTGGGTAGTGAAATGATGGATTGTTTTAGCTCTTCAGGGTAAGAACTTTCTTGGAGGAATTGATGCATAAATGAGTTTGAGGTGTTAAGATCAGATGGCGAAGCCATGGCAAGTATTTGGAGCTATATATGAGTTGAATCTTATTTTGTGAGCTCTATGCAACTAATATTCCTTCTTGGGGTATCTATTTATAGATCATATAAGTTGGGTTAAGTCGGGATTATTAAATTTGCCCCTCTATCTACTATCTATCTACTATCTACTATACTAATAAGAGCCCAAGAGAGTTAGGCCTATAATGGGTAGAAAAATCTACTATATATATACTAATAAGAGCCCAAGAGAGTTAGGCCTATAATGGGTAGAAAAAATGGCGGTCAAGTTTTTTAATCAAATTAATGGCTCAGATTGATTTCAGATTTAATTTTTTTTCCTTTAAATTTCCTAATTTATCCTTAATGAATATGATTATCCGTTAACTTTTCCGTTAAATATTATTTTTTCCGTTAATTTTTGTTAGTTCACCGTTAACTTACTCATTGATTTCAATAAGAAAGGTCTTAGGTTCGAACCTCATCCCAATTAAAATTGGCATAATTAGTACTTTATTTTACTCTTATTAAATTAAATAATAATTTAGTAGCTACAACAAAAAATAATACATATGCATTTCTTTAATTTAGAATAGAATTATGTGTCTACAATGTCTTTATTTTTTAAAAAAAAATCTATTATAAATAAATTAAATAAGAGAAATAATTCCATTAGTTATATTGTATTTATTTTTCTCCAATATAAAAATTCTTTACATTCAAATTCATCAATTGATTATATTCGCTACATTGTCCCTACAATGTCTTTATTAAAAAAAAATTATTCATTATCAATAAATTAATTAAAAGAAATAATTTTATTAGTTATATTGTCTTTATATTTCTCCAATGTAAAAAATTCTATACATTCAAATTCATCAATTGATTATATTCACTACATTGTCTATTATCTTTTTTGTGCACTATTTTTTAATTAAATATCAAAGTTATAATACAAAATAATCCTATATATTTATTTACCAAGTATTTTATTAATACCATGAAAAAATATAAAAAATATAATTAATAAAGGCAATCATATTAACTACTTGAGTGATTTGTTGACAAAGAGAATATTCAAATCACACAACAAATTGAAATGAGAACTACCTCAGCTCGCAATGTCCTTGTTTGACAATCAGCAGTTAGCGGTTAGCGTTAGCGGATTATATTAGTGAATTTGACCAGCGAATTATATCAACGGTTGGTAAAAAGATATTTGAAAAAATTAACTGTTTAGATTAACATGTAAAATGACATAAGGGTATACATATATTTAATAATAATAATAATAATAATAATAATAATAATAATAATAATAATAATAATAATTGTTTAAAATATATATATATATATATATATATATATATATATATATATATATATATATATATATATATGATTAAGTCAATCATATTAATTACTTGGGGACTTTATTGACAAAAAAAAGTATTCAAATCACACAACAAATTGAAGTGAAAAACTACCTCGCAATGTCCTTGTTTGGCAATCAGCAGTTAGCTCTTCAATATTAGTATATATTTAATATTTTATGTCCTAATTTTTATTTGTACTCCATTATTTCCGTATTTTGTTTCAACCATACCTATACAATTATTTTATTGACAATTATAATCAATCTTGACTATATTATCTTGCATTTGTAAACTTAGAATTACCTATTTAAATACGCAAATTCAACATTCAATTATCTATGCATGAACAATTCCAATATAATATTGTCTTGATATACTTTAAAGTACTTATTTAAAAAAAATATTGGGTATTATCCCAATCGCACAATGCGCATAAAAAACTAGTATTAAATTATAAGGTGCTAGTAAATTTGGACTAATTATTTAGACTATCGATTTCACAAAGTTCCAAACATTTATTTTACTGACCATTATAATGAATTTTCTAAATTATTTTGCATTTGTATACGTTAAATTACATATTTAAATAAACAAATTCGGCATTCAATTACTTATGTATGAAGTCCTCGTATATAATTTTGCATTGATATATTTTGAAACACTTATTTAAATATAAACATTAGGCATTAACACATTCGTGCAATTCGCTCCAATGTCACTTTCGATCTGAGTAAATAATAAGTTTGTCTCCAATCTAAGTAACCTTGGGCTCCATTAATGATTGTACTGCATGCATTAGTTAGAACCATTACCAACATCACATGCAACATATGTATAATTTCTTCATCTCTTGGTACTCATCATAGACTTGCACAAACCCCTAAAATTTACTTTTATGTTGTGCATCGATATAATAAAATATAATCAGTTAAAATAAGAAAATTAAATAATGCATGTTTGCGAATTATCTTGTCATCTAGTGACACCAAATTGCTTTCTCATATGAGAAATTGTGAATTCGAACCTTGGTGAAGTCGGTATTGACACTTTGTACTTCAGTAGGTTGAGAAAGACATAATTCTCATACTTGAATTTACCCGATACACCCTTCGAAAAGTGATTATGAATTTGTCATGCCAAAAAAAAAAAATGTTATCAATTCTTTTAATTTGGTTAATTATTTCCAAACATTTCAAATTAGAACCTATAACAGTTGTGTAATCTATCTTATATGTCAAAATAAAAGTGATTGTTATGTACATGTTAAATTACCAAATGAGAAGTCAACAGTGCAACCTATCATGCATCAAAAATCATCTTAAATAAGGTTACCAAGAGGAGTGGTTGAATAGGCAGAGTACCATTCTTGTACTAGAAGATTATGAGTTCTATTCTTATCAATATCATTTTGATCGAATAAAGTATTGTCTTTCTAGTGTGGTTTACCTATTTACTGATTATTACACAAGAGCATAGTTTATCAGTGTACACCGTCGAGTAATGACTACACGTATTCCTTGCCACCCACAAAATATATATAAACACACACACACACACACACACTATTATTAAAAAAAAGTATTTTAATATAATTAAGATTTTAACATTGAGTATTAATATTGGGCATGTATTTTAAGATTTGTTCGGGAGGGTACGTATTCTCATGTGAAATCTAAATTTACAATTCGCACGTTTGCACAGGAGCAATGATTATCATTTGATCGGTAGGGTTTCGGGGGGCTAATTTCATTGCTTCTGTGGATGGTCACATAGGTCCCCTCGGATAAAAATGCAAAGCTCTGTACCGCGGGGGATCGACCTGACGCTTGAGGATGAAACTAGTCCTTCTTTGGCTTTGGAGCACCGTTCCCACCCTTGGAGTAGGGCATGACGCCCAGGAATTGTCCAGCTTTGCATGTGGTACAGGTGGTTTGTAGAATGGGTGTTGGGCCCACTTGGTGGTTTAGAGTTTATTTCCTTTATTAGTTAGCCTTAGGCCTCTTTGCTTTATTCTTTTATCTCTTTGTAACCTTGGTCACTTTTTAGGCCTTGGCAAGACGTTGTTTTAGTTTTTAATAAAAGTTTATTCTTTAAAAAAAAAAATACCCCTATATATACATAGTGAACAATGTTACAGCCTGCATGGGCTACTAGAGGTTTTTTTTTTTTTTTTTTTTTTTTTAATTGAGAAGATGTATTAGATCATATCAAAATAGTCAATGATATTGGTCACATCTACCTAAAATCGACACAATAGGCATCACAATCAATTAATAATAAAGCCAATGATGGATAGACATAACACAATTAATTAAAAGATATTGTGACACTCTCTACCTAAATCTCACATCAACAATAGCATATAGCAGTTGTTGGAGTTTTAAATTTGGAGTACCTCTTCCCTAGTAATAACTCATAAGTCTCACATCAACACAATAGCATATAGTAGTTGTTGGAGTTCTCATAAATATGGAGTACCTCTTCTCTGGTAATAACTCATTACTTTTGAGCAAATATTTAGTATTACTATAATAAAACTAGTATGTGTGAAAAATGAAACTAAAATCTAGAGTCATAAAATAATATATATTGTAAAATGATTTAAAGTAGAATTAAAATAATATTTCAACATTCCTATATTATCAAATGAAACTATACTAAAAAAAAAATTAGCGTGTGTGAAAAATGAAACAAAAAAATAAAACTCAAGTAATAATGTATATTATCAAATGAAATTATATTAGGATTAAAATGATACTTTAAATTGACTATAATGAAATTAGTGTAGAAAAAATAAAATTAAAAAATATAATAATATTATTAAATGAAACTGAAGTGTAATTAAAATTAGATATACGTTACTAAATAGACAATGTTCTACCCAAAAATTGCCGACAAGTTTATTCAGTTGATGTTACAGTCTACCTACCAAGTACCAAGTACCAAGTACCATATTTAAAATGTAATTTTTTTTTTGAAATTATTTAAAATGTAATATTTATTTACGATGGATTTGAAGAATGGATGGCCTACTCAGTACTCAGACAAAGTTATCAATTGATGTTACAGTTCACTTACCAATACTTTTATAAGGAAAATATTATCGGGAATTGTACAAACTCACGTCCCTCTCCAATATAGACAATGCCTACTTACAAGTCTTCTCACCTCAATTTTCAATTTCAAATGGATCTAATTGATAGTCAATTTCTTATTGAATCATTAACCGTTTTAAGTGTATAATATATCAATTTTTTATTCTCACTATAAAGAATCTAAATGAACTTTGACCTGAACTAAATTAAAAGTGAACCCACATATACTTATATTACAAAATAGTCACTTAAAATCGTCATTTTAGCCAAAAAAATTCAACATTTAGAACCCGAATTTTCTTGATTTTTCAGTGTTTGAGTACTCAAGGAAAATGAATTCAAACGAAAATATTCATTATGATCAAAGTCAACAAAATCGGAAGACATTTTTTCGAATTCTTTATCTTCACATCTCTCTCTTTAAAAAAAAAAAAAAAAAAAAAAAGAAGAAGTTAATTTACAGATTTTTAAATTACTTTATAGTTATTAAAGTAACCAAACAGTAGGGGACTAGCCAAATCGTTTGCTCCATTCATATGGGTGGGTCAAATCCCCAACCTTATGCTTAAGAGACAAGGTGCTGAACCACCACGCCAACCATGTTGTTTATC